ACCAGAGGGACACCAATGTCCCAAGGCATGTTCTTAGCCATTAAGAGTTTCATGTACACAGTTGCTATGAATTGTTATGATCAATATTTAATACACAGTATAAAAATAGGTTATTACAATTTAATCAATTATTTTTATCCGGCTCACATATAAATCATTGTTTTAAGTGCCAAAAATAAATTATTATATATATGAAAATATAAGAAGGTTGTCCATATCATGTGTAAAAAAAACTTTTAAATTTTTCAAATTTTTTGCCAGTATAGTATTTATTAGTATCTAATATAAAGTTAATCAATGGTAGAAATTTCATTAAAACTTAATCAATACACCATATCAAACATGTGGGACACCGATGTCCCATAGTTGTTAAAGGGTTATAAATACTTCGAAAAGGTCGTAAAACGCTGTCACATTGACCAGATTTAATTACACCAAACCCAAAAATGAAAAATTCAATTTTGTTTTCTTATTCTCTTCCCACTCTAATCACAGTTTCATAGTATAAACTTTAGTTAGTTAATAAGCAAAAAGATATTTTAAATCAAACAAGGTGTGATTTTTTTGCCAATAATTTTCTCAATAACTTTCTTTTTTTTGGTAATAGTTTGAACTTCAAAATAATGTTTTTTTTTATTCCTGGTAACGATTTTGATGAAAAAATTAATTTTGGCAATCCAATCTTTTCATTGCGTTTTTTAATTTCATCAACATCAACCAAAAAAACCTTGATATCCATATTTTCTGCTGCCTTTGCAAATTGGAATGCTGTTTTTACTTTAATATTTTGAGCCAAAATTCTGGATTTTACAAATCTTTTAACAAATCCTCCAATTCCGTCAACAACGGATTTGCCGTGCATGGGTGCAAAAAAAGCCTATTTAATTTTCATCTTGTGTAATTTTTGTAACATTTTTAAAGACTCCATTTTATACTTATTTTTGAATTGAGATGTTGTATTATCGCTCCAAAATGTAGCTTGTTGGACTGTTTCTGGCAGCTGATCCATAATGAAATCCATAAATGGAATTACGGTTTCTTTTAAATATTTTTGATGGTCCGATGCAATTGCAAGTGACTGCTAATGACAGTGATGATATACAACTGAGGTGAAATTGGAGTCTGGCCATAATGAGCGCTTTTTGGTTTGTATTGAGTGATACATTTAAAGTCATCTGCAAAATCAACTTCTTCGACAACTTGGTTAGAATTTTGTTGTATTCATATATCAATCATTTGATGATATAGTTTAGCTTGATTAATTTTTACATATGTGTGATTCAAAAAATCAGGAGCTAGTTTGTATAATTCATATAATAATTCACTTATCGGCCCAGATTTAAAGAATTTCTTGATATTGTTATAAATGTTTGGGCAATTCTTTTTTAATTCAGTTTTAACCCATTTTTGCCAAGTTACTTGATTATTTAAACTCTCAATTTCATACTCCAATATTTGAATGTTAAGGGCATCCATGCAATATTCGTAATGATTTATGAAACACTCAATAAGCGGATTCTCACATGTAAAGTTTAAGTGCATGTCATTGTCTGTCAACAAATAATCAAATATGGGATGTGACTTTTTTAAAGTTACTAATTTAAAACCCATATTTTCATGAATAGTACAAACACAAACATTATGTGGTACTTTAATGATTGACAAAACATTACACGGTCTTAAGTAAAAAAAGTTTGTTAATCCAATAATAATACTTAGATTCTGTTTTTTAAACATTTCATAAACTTCCTTCATAGAGTAGATCAAATGTTTAACACCAAGTTTTTTTTAATTCCGCCTTCACTAGCTTTAACAAAGTCTGTTATGTTTGGTGACTTATTCATCATCGCTTAGATAAAAATTTTGTTCTAATTTTATCATCTGATACACTTTTACAGTTGCTGCGATTAGACTTAAACAGTTGATTTTCAGCTAATAATGTTTTCAAAATGGAAGTGCTTTGTTTTGGAGATCCAACTATGGCATTTTTTGCTTTTTTCATTTACTTACCTTTAACTTGAGGACAAGAAAAAGGATTTGTCTTATTTGTTGATCACACAGTAGTTCTCTTTTTCTCCCGATACTTCTTTTGCTTTTCACTGTTTTTTGTATTTCTTAATTTCCTTTGCTCATCATTGAGTGAAATTTTTAATCTTTGTCTATAAGTTTTTGAATAACCTGCATTAAGAGTTTTGTTTTGCTCTGGATTCTGTTTCCTCCTGTTTGCAGACTTTTTTTTTGGTGTTGGTATGATAAAAATTACTTTTTTTTATGCTATTTATATATAACTTGAGCAACTTAATTATTAAACAATTAAAAAATAACTCACGACATGGTAATTTAATTTTTTAAAAGTAAATCTAATACTTACAAGTATAATTTTCAAATTTTAAAAAAATAAAAATTCTGTGGTAATGTAATTCAACGTTATTTAAAGTTGCGTTACGTCAGTAACATTGTGTCTATCATATTTTCAAAGTAGTTACTAACGTAAATGCAACTTTAAGTATAAAATTTGGAATAAATTTTTCTTTCATAGAAAAAATAATAAAGTTTTGTTTAAATAATCAAAAGTTACATTTTATTAAAAAAAAAATTTTAATATAAAATTTTTACTGTAAGAATCAAGTTTTTATATATTTTTTCTTACTGACGTAACACTTATTTTTTTACTATTCTCTTCGAATATTTTTATTAATTATTTACTTTGGGTTAAAAATCTTTTTTGTTATGAAATAGCGCATTTACCTACTCTCTTTGCGTATCAAAAAACTTTTGAAAAGCAATCACATATACTTTAAGTATAACGTTATTAAATGTACTTTATTGATTTTAGAAAATGCGAAAATTCCTGAGTTTTGGCAGCATGAAGGTGTCTCATAGCTAAATTTTGAATTTATATTTATATCAATTTTATAACATATAAAGTATATATTATAATAATCCATAGGTATAAACAGTCGAAGAAAGATTTTTTTAATCACAATTTTTTCAAAGTTTTTATGGAATGCACTATATATATAATAACTGCACATCAACCAAATTATCATATAGTCATAACATTAAATCATGCTTTTATGCTTCAAACTTCCATTTATTTCATTTTCACACAAAAAATGCTCACTTTATAACATTACACCAGATACTTAAATAAATACCTGGCATAACTTTTATTATCTTTTGTGTTATTATTGATGACTTACTGAGCTAAAATATTCTCAAAGATTCTTTAGAAAAATGTAACTCATCTTTTCAGCTGTTTTTAAATCAGCATCTGAGAAATTGAATGTTTTTGTTTAAAAGGCTTTTAAACAAAAAAAACTGTGGTGCCATTTATAACATTATCCTTTCTGTTACTATTGATGACTTCTTAAGCTAAATTATTCTCAAAGGTTCTTCAGAAAAATATGACTCACGTTTACCTCACGTTTACAACTGCTTCATAATAACATTTGAAAACCTCTGGCAGACAAAATCTTAGGTTTAAAATTTAAGTCTTATGTTATACTATAACATAAGACTTAAATTTTAAACCTAAGATTTTGTCTGCCAGAGATTTTCAAATGTTATAATATAGTCTCTAAAGTATTTTAGAAAATTTAATATCATTAAATATTATTTATATATCATTTTTCATATATATTTATATATCATAACTCATATTTGTAAACTTTTTAAATAAAAATCAATGCTGCTATGTAATTTAATAGAAGACTAAAAAGACTTTTTTTTTTAGTCTAAAAGTCAAATTGAATTTTTATCTAACAAGCCAGATAAGGAGGTTTTTTATTATGAAATATATATATGTAAATGAAAAGAGTTTAAAGCTTTTGAATAAAAAACTTGAAAGTATTTTATATCTGGTGTTATCCTTTGTTAAAATTATTTGTTAGTATCTTATTTTTGTCATTTAAAAAAAACCATCAGTTGTTTCTATGTGTTGGGTTTTTAGCATTTTTTAAAAGCAAGTCTAAACTAAGTTTATTTTTAGGCAATATTTTATGCTTTAGGTTTTTAATATTTTATTAGAAAGGTTCTACCTTTATTTACTTAAATGTTTTTGGGTTTTTAATCTCAAGTATATTATTATTTAATGTTTTATTTTTCAAAGGCTTTATTTCAAATGACAATTTGTTTTGACTTCTGACTGGTTTTACTTTAAAATTTTTTTTGTTAAAATCCTTGAAAGTCATGTAATTTTTTATTATGATGGAGTATCTTAAAAAATTCTAGAAAAAAAGGAAATAAGTTCTTGAAAATTTTCTGTAGAAAACCTGGTTCTTCATTCAAATAAAAATAAGATTCATTATTCAAATAAAAAAATTTATTTATTTTTTTGATAGAAATACTATTGTAACAAATATCGTAACAAATATTGTTTGTCAATAGAAAAAGTTATATATTATTGTTTGTTACACCCCAGGCTTTTATTAATAAAAAAAGTTACAAAATGTTTTTTTAAGTTATTGTTTTTTTTATATTTAATTTATTTTTTGTTTTTAACATATTTTTTTTTTTTTAGTCCATCTGAGATGAATCAAAATTTTCTTTTATAATGTTTGCTTTTACATTAGGGCTTTTAATATTTGGAATTTATCTTTTGTTTAAATGTTGTAACTGATTAGTTACAGTGTTTTGCACAGTCAGCACTAAATTTTCTCAGTTAGTCAAGGAGGTCTCTCTGAATAAGACAAGGAAGTCTCTCTAAAGACAAGGAAGCTTCTTTTACCCGCTATCCCGCTACTGTATTATTTTATGATGATACGCTTATAAGATGATTCACCATCATACTTTTATATTTATACTTTATTTACAATACTATTTTTAAACCCTTGCAAAGTTCTAGCATTTAACAGGACTTTACTTTTAAAATAGTTTTTATCATTAAATGTTAAAAAAACTTCAATTAATAGTAATTATTGAATTAACTTTTTAATCTTTTATATTTAGTTTTTGAAAATTATTTTGTGCTGACTGTTTTCAAAAATTTTTACTTTTAGAAATTAGCAATATGGGAACGTACATTCTGTGAAAGTACACAAGAATTCATGAAAAGCAAGGTTATTCAAAAAATCTTGATTACATTTTTAATAAATCAATTAGTACCATTGTTACGATTGTAGTCATTTTTTTATTTTAAAATTTACATTTGAAAAAAAAATTAAAAGCTTTCAATCACTAATTTCATGGGTTACACCTACTAAGAAAATAATTTCGGGTGTTATGCAGGTTTAGTTAACAGAAGCTTGAAAGAAGACTAAAAAAATATGGTAAGGAGTTTCCAAATCAATATGCATATAAAATAACACAGATGAAACATGATGAAACAGTATGAAATGAAACAAATGTAAATTAAATGTAAGTGTTGTGTGAAATTTCACATTTGAAATTTCAAATGTAAATTGAATGTAAGTGGTGGTTTACTTTTTACTGAACGTAAGTATGAGCACTGTAGAAGTGTAGCACTTTAACACTTTTCCTAAAAACATGAAGGACATTAAAAATTTTTAGAATAAGTTAGTATTTCATGTAAAAATGGATTTATAAAGACATAGAGCATCGTTTGAAGTTTGAAGAAATCAAATTATAGCACTTCTCTACTAATCTAAAAATTGGTTTGCAGTTTAGTATATGATTATTGTTCTCAATGTTTATTTTTTTGGTCATAAAAAAAACTTTTATTTAAAGCTACCTATTTATTTAATTTTTTATTCAATTATCATTTAAATAATTATTATTTAATTATTTGTTTAACTATTATTTATATTTTTACCTATTTATTTAATTAAGCTATTTACCTATTTAATTGTTTATTTAATTATCATTTAAAGCTATTTATATTTATTTATATCTATCCACAAATACCCCCTGTTTAAAAGCTACGATTATGAAATATTTAAATAACTAACCATGTTAAAAAAAAAATTTAAATGAACTTCATGTGCAAAATAGTATTACAGTTATATTTGACAGTAAGTTCAGCAAAATCTCTACAACAAAATTTAGCAAAACCTCAACAATAAAAAAACTGAAACATTTTACAACAAAAACATGATTAATTTCAATATAAGCTTAGTTTTTCAACTTAACATACTTAACATTTAACCCAAACAATCCTACCGAGTATGATTTCTGGAATATTTTCCAAAACAGCCTTTTTACTCAACATATCACATTTCCTACTTTCCAGACTGATTATGGTTCCTCAAATAATATGTTGGACTTGTTATTTACCTACAACAGTAATTCTATTTTAAACTTGTCTCCTAGTACTATACTAGGTAACACCACTAAGGGTCATTTTAGTATCACTTGGAGATTCTTAGTTTCAGAACTGTTTACCGAAAGTGTATCTCAATCGTTTAATTACAAAAAAGGTGATTACGATTCCATATCTAACTTTATTGCATCAATCGACTGGGAGTTTTTATTCCTGCATAAAACTGCAGATCAAATGTTCAATATACTAATTTCTAACTATCGCACTGCTTGCACATATTTTATTCCCAAGATTAATAAAACAAAAAAAAAAGTATGATCCTTGGGTTACCCCACATATTAAAAACCTGATCCGAGAAAAAAAATCCGCCTGGCATATAAACTGCTCTACCAAATGGGAGAATAGTGAGCTTAAAATAAAATACAATCGCCTTAATCGTTCAGTAAAAACTGAAATATTTAAAGCAAAAAAAGCACATGAAAAAGAAATAATATCAAAATCCCAAAACAACCCAAAAATCGTTTACAAATATATCAACAAACAACTAAAAATTAAAGATAGAATTCGCTCTCTCAAAGATACTTCAGGCAGAATTATTGAAGCTCTTCCTGATATAGTTGATCTTCTGAACTCTCAATTTAAATCTATGTTTACACTTAAAAGCTCTGAAAATTTTCCTTTGCTAAATAAAAGTGGTATTCTTTCTGAATGCATTTATAATGAAAACTTGGATTTCTCTATCTCAGATATTATTCAGGAACTTGCCGATCTAAAGCCTTATAAATCCTTCGGACCTGACGGCTTGCATCCCTTAATACTCAAGATATGTGCCAAAAGCTTTGCAATTCCATTAACAAAAATCTTTCATAAATCCTTTAACTCTGGAGTAGTACCCACTCAATGGAAATTAGCAAATATTAGTCCGATCTATAAAAAAAAGGGAGATAAATTACTTGCTGAAAACTATAGACCTATTTCACTAACATCTGTTGCCTGTAAAATCTTTGAAAAATTTGTAAAGAAAAAAATTTTAAAGCACATTAACGATAATAAAATGCTCTCTGCAAATCAACATGGCTTCCTTTATCATAAATCATGCGTAACTAACCTAATAGAAACTTTTGGTATCATTTCGTCCTCCATAGCATCTCACCATATTATTGATGTAATCTATCTTGACTTTGCCAAAGCGTTTGACTCTGTACCTCACAACAGACTTTTGTTAAAATTAAGATCTTTCGGAATAAACGGCAAACTCCTACAATGGATTAAATCTTTTTTAGTGGGCAGAAAGCAACGCGTTACAATTAACAATACCAGCTCTGCATGGGTTGATGTTCTCAGTGGTGTTCCTCAAGGTTCTGTTCTCGGCCCGCTCCTCTTCATTCTCTACACAAATGATCTCGCAAAACTCACTGAAACTTCTGAGATATTTGCCGATGATACTAAACTTTTTTCTAAAACCTTATCGCAATCTAATTTTGTTGATCTGCAGGATCGTCTACGCTTGGTATACGAATGGTCAAACACTTGGTTACTTAAGCTAAACACTTCAAAATGCTGCGTCATTCATTACGGTCGAAACAACCCCCATTACAATTACTTTCTTCAAAATAACCAAGGAATCAACCAATCTCTAAGAAGCTCTACTAAAGAACGTGATTTAGGAGTCATTTTTACATCTAACCTCAAGTGGAGCGCTCATATTCAAACAGTTGTCTCTAAGTCCTTACAAATTCTTGGTATGCTGAAAAAGACATTCACTTTCATTGATGAAAAAATGGCTCTCAAATTATATAAAGTATTTATAAGACCACATCTTGAATATGGAGTGTCCATTTGGGCTCCTTTTTTAAAAGCTGATATGGCTTTGGTTGAATCTGTTCAACGCAAAGCTACAAAATGGGCTTACAGCTTGAGGCATCTTCAATACTGCGAAAGGCTAAAAAGATTAAACCTACCATCTCTTGAGTTTCGTTGCCTTCGATGCGATTTAATCCAAATTTTTAAATTAATACATCGTTTTGATATAGTTAATGATAAATATCTACCAAAATATATTAACTCCGTGTCTCGTGGTCACCATTCTAAAATAAGGCGTGAGTATGTTCTAAACTGTCTTCCAAGATATAATCATTTGTATAATAGATCAGCAAAATACTGGAACAATCTACCAGAGCAAATAACTTTGTACTCCACTGTACTTTCTTTCAAAAATAGACTAGACTCCTGGTTGTGGAAAAAGTTTGGAACAAATATTTATAAAACTGGTTGTTTATAGTGGGGTGTTTCCCCTGCTCGCTGTATGTGTACATTCTATGTAAATTTACGGCTACAACTATAATAATAATAAAAAAATTAAAAAAAAAAAAAAAAAAAATTTAACATAGTAAATAATTTTTGTTTTTAAATTTTTAAAAATAAAAAATGAATTTATATTTTTGTTTAGAATTTCATTGATTCTATTAGCTGTGCTGTTGCAGGAGTACTTGAAGGATTGATACCTTCATCATATCGTGAATCTTTTCAGAACATATTAATTCCAGGTTTTGAGAAAGCTTCTTTAGCAATGTATATGCAAATCAACCAAGCATTCCAGCAAGGAACAAAACAATGTATTTACTAATCCTATACAATTTTAAACTAATGTAAAACTATATATCATATATTTCACAGTATTATATTGCAAGTACATTTATTTATATACATTTATTTATATACATGTATATATATATATATATATATATATATATATATATATATATATATAATCTTTTTTTTTTTTCAACATTTATAACTAGCTTACCAAAGGTAGGTAAGATGTTTTTATCTATAGTTATGAGATCGTTGGCAAATAAACATGTGCAAATATTTATTTGCCAAGCAGTAATACAAGTGTTATATTTGTATTTTCACCTAATTTTGCTTATATTAATATTAATAATATCTATAATAAATTTTTATATTAGTGCTTACAATATTACCTTTATTATATTTGTGCTGTCTAAAAAAAAAAAAAAACTAGCTTGTTACAAATGGTTGTTAAAATTTTCATGAGTTAAGAGCTAAAGATATTGCAAAACATGGGTCAAATGTAAGTCATATCCAAAAAGACAAAGACAAGGTAAATTTTTCATATTAAATCAGGAGGGATACTATATGATGCCAGGCTATGGATAGCAGGCATTTCAGCACAACATTTTTGATGGCTGTTTTTGAAGCAAGTGTTCCACTTAAGATCATTTTGTAATGTTACACAGCAGAGTAAGAGTTTCTTACTTACTGCCAGCTACAAATTTTGGAAAACCCTTCAATCTTTTAAGGAAACATCAATTAATTGAGTTTTTGTGTTGTTGACATGAATTTTAGCACTTTATGACTTTATTCATCTTTTTATTTCATTCTGCAATTTATCGGAGTTTTTGTATCTGACATAATGTAATAGTTTCATCAGCATACAAATTTAAGAGACCTTTGGATTTGTTAAGGACTAACATACTGTTTACTACTATGCCAAAAGGGACCAAGCACAGACTCTTGTGAAACTCTACTAGTTGTAGACACCAGGCAACAATGACATGAGGAGACACCGGAAACAATGACCTTTTAAAAATGGTAAAATAAATATGGTTTAATCTTTCTTAAAGAAGTGTCGAAGAAAAAAAGTACAAAATAACTTGAGCAGCTCAAAAGTCTTAAATTTTTTAAATTTTCTATTATTCTAAAAATTAATTTTTTCTTTGAACTCTCCTGAAATAGTTACTTGGAGAGACTCCTGGAATGGTAAATAGTTAAATATGTTTTAAATGTATTAAGTTTAATGGTTTATAGTTAAATACATTTATTGTTAAAGATATAGAAAGTTTACAAATAGATTTTTTTGATTTGTTAACACGTGCTAATCAACATATAATATATTATATATATGTATGATATGTTATATGATATACACATATGGTATGTTTAGACAACATATCACATATTGTACAAACTTATTATAGCACTAATACAGATGAACCAAATAATTTTTTAATAAGTATTTATTTGTTAAAAAGTTTTTATTTTGTTTTACTCGTTAATATTTGTTTAATAGTTTTTATAAATTATTTCATTCTTATTTTTATTATTTAAAAATCTAAAATCTAAAAAAAAGGATAAATTCCTCAGTTGTAAATTTTATTCAATGCTGAGTATAAATATGAGATTAGTTTTTTTTTTATTGCATAACTGTTTTTTATCACAAAAAATCAATTAAAGGTATGATTAATGTTAATCATATTGCATGAGATAGAACTGCAGGTCTGTATATAACATTTACTTATGTAAAAATGTCATGTTTCAAAACATCATATTACATCACATTACATACATATATTACATAATGTTACATTATGTTGTCATCTAATAGTCTCTCACAATCTTAAAAAATATTAGAAGTTAACATTGTTTTCTTTTATGAAGTTTGGCATTGTCACGTGTCAAACACCAGATGTGCTACTCATCATAGACGCATTCCACCTTTCCTTGTATCTTTTCTTCGTTGCATAAAATAACCTGATGAAAATGTTCTATGTGCTCCTCACTCATATCATCCAAATTTGGGTTAACAATAGTATGAATGCAGGTAATGCAGCATTGACATTCTGTATTTTTATCTGCATATTGTACAGTTTCCACTCTTTGTAGTTATCACTCCAATTATTCCATGAAAAAACAATGAGCAACTTGTCTAAACACAGTCCAAACTTCTTTTTCAATAGCAGACATTTTGTCCTTCAGCTTCTTACATGCCAACATAACTTTAATCTGTAAACCAGTGAATATACCTGCTAAAAGTTTTGCATCTAACACTTTGGAGTTATTTACTGAATGTGCCGGAATGCTGTACTAGTCAGGTTTAATGCATTTACAAAATGTTTAGTAAGACCTAGTTTAATGTGAAGTGGTGGGAGTAAAATCTTCTCAATAGATATCAGGAAAATATTGATAACAATGTGCGCACAAGACTATAAGTTTTTACTCACAGGCAACTTCTTGTTGACTGGGAAAAAATGCAAGCATCCCAATTTTAACAAATGATTTTCACAAGCAACAACTTTACATTTTTTTAATTTTCCTTTAGTTGAGCAAAATGAGCTAATGAAATAAAGGAAATCAGTTTTCGTTATGGAGCAAAACTGCCTTATGACTTCTTGTAGAGCTGTCAATTACTAACCTCTAATCTTCAGGATTGTGAACAATGCTAATGTCATCAAAAAGACTACAAATATCATGACAATAGTATTAGAACAGTGATTCTAATGCAATTCTTGACTGTGTGGATTAAAAACCAGCGTTACCGCAATACGATTAATTTCGATAGTGCGGTAAATTTTGATTATTAGACAAGAAATCGGGCATGCTTAGTTACAAATGCGATATTTAGTTAATCGCGATGTTGTCATTTTTATAGAGTGATTGACTGGACGTTATATTGTGAGTTACTTTTTAATCGAAAAATTGAGTGCAATTTAATGTGATAGTGTGGATCTGGTTTAATTGAAGATGGTATACTTGAATAAACTAGAGTTAGATTATTCTTCAGCTTTTTATACTTTAAAATGTCATGCTGAAACCATGACAACCATGCTGAAACGATCATTATGATTTCTCAGTTCTCAATAAATTCTCAAAATTGAAAAGATATTTTCTTTTGGAATACATACAGCTATCCTTCCAGAGTTGATCTGCAGCTTCCTCGACAGTTATGTGACAATGTCACAAATACAAATTAATAATACAATAAGTTATATAATACATTAATGTGCTAGTTTTTATTTGATATTTTATTAATAATGATAATGGTAATAATAAAATTAAACAAATAATAATAATAGTAATAACAATATAATCAACAAAGTTGAAATAATTATTTATGCTGAAAAAATGTTGCTGCATAATTCACTTTAGATTAAATGTCCTTATGTGAGTTTACTAATAATTTTTTTACAAACTGCTTCAGGACAGCTTTCCAGTTATTTATAACTTTGTGATTATTAAAAGTAGCTAAGATGCTATTAGTATAATTATTTGCTATTTTATGTATTATATTCATATATTTTATTATATTTACATTTCTTAAAAGAGTCTAAACAAACAAACAAGTCTGTCATACAGCAAGAATAAAAATTTGATAATGATAGTTTTGTACTAAAAGTTATACTCACTTGTTTAGTAACAATCAAAATATCTTGTGTAAGAGTAACTGAAAATAACACTTAGCTTTTTTTTTATATAATAATAAAATTATATAAACAATAAATAAAAAATAACAATAAATAAAAAATTTTAACATTTAAAGAGATTTAAAATGAATTAGTTCAGTAATTTTAGTTTATATAATTTTATTATTATATATTTAAGTTTTTTATTTATTGTTTTTTTTTTTATTGTTTAGACTTGGAAAAACTGGAAGGACATTTAGAATCTAAGCGTCAAAAACATGAAGAAAAAATTGAACCAATGGTAGCAACACTACATGAAATTGTCACAAAATTTCAACATCCTATAGAACGACAAGGAAGTTTTGACGATCAACAGATGTCTCAGTGTGTGGAAAGGTTTCATACATTCATATGACATTATTTTTTTTATGACATTTTTTTTATGACATCTTTTTTGCATTTAATGCAAAAGTTTAGTGGTTACTAATGGTTACTAATTGCTTTAGTTTTTTGAGGTATAATAAATAAAATAAAAATAATATTATAAGAATATAGCAAAGTAATCTTTTCTAATATATTTATAAAATTTAATTGAAAAAGTATTCTCTTGTTTTTTGGGTGTATAGATTACAGCAAAATGTTGTGAAGGCAATAGAAGCTGTTATTGTTCCTGCTGTTATAAACAGAATTTCACAATTTGTCGAAAAATTATCTGCTAAACCTAATGAAGACGCATCTAATGTTGAAGATCTTGAAGCCAAAAAGGTATGAAGAGAATATCCAAACTGCTGTTTTATATATATTAAGATATCTTGGTCACTGTTTATGCGTGTTTATATATATATATGTATATATATATATATATATATATATATATATATATATATATATATATATATATATATATATATTTGTATATATATATATATATATATATATATGTATATATATATATATATATATATATATCAGGTCTTGTGATGAATAAAAACTGCGCGACGCATAAGCACGACGTGATTTTTGACGTCATTAAATTCTTTTTATTTGCTTTTCATATTTATCGACATTAACTGCACCAATTTACTTAATTACCGCAAAAGTACTTTAAATCATTTATGTAGAAATGTTATTATTTAAAAATGTTTTGGAATGTTTCGTTTTTTAAAATGTAAAAAGATTTGTTTATTTTCTTGACTTTGACATGTTTTGTCTATACTAAACGAATAAAAAACGTAACTAAACATTTAAAAAAGATTATAAAATATGCTAATATTTGATTTTTTTTTTCTCAAATATGTAATTTAAAGTTTTTCAAATAATTATTTTTTCTTCTTAAAAAGTCAGCGAGTTATAAATCGGAAATTTTACTATTGTACAATTAAAAACTGTGCAATAGCTAATATTTTTACTAGCGATTTTATATAATATTTTTTTATTTTTATTTATTTTCATAAAGCGGTTGATTAGCACAATCACTGTTACTAAAAAACTTTAACAAACATTTTGATTAGATTTTTAATGTTTACGAGGAATTTTATTTTTTGTAAAATAAAATAAAATAAAATGTTAGAATAAAAATCTTATAGGTATAAAAGACATATTTCAGCGAAAAAGTTATGCTTAAAAATTATTCTTAAAAATTATTCAAAAAACTATTGACATTCTATTTTTCAGCAGCTGTTCTTGAGCACGCTTCGTTGAGTTTCGGTAACTTTTAACAAAAAAGCGATTGTTATTTTATTAAGTAATTTTTTTCAAGTTACTTTTTACAAAAATTTTAATAGTTGTACTTTTTTATTGAATCAAGTAGAATACGTTTTAATATTAATCCTTTTATTTTTTTTATTTCCTCTTACCAATTTTTAAAATGTTTCCTCGAAATTATTCTTAAATACTTTAAATACATCTAACAGTTAATAAATATTTTTAAATCTATGGAATAATTTTAAACCGAACAAACCCCCGTAAAATAATTATTTAAGTTAAATATCTAAAACTAAAAGAAAGTATTTTTGTTCAATTTTATTGACAACTTTGCTATTGCTGAATAATTTTATTAAAATGTTAGCTTAAAAAGATTTTAACTTTTTTTTTATCTGATTTTTTTCTACTTGTAAATAATGAGCCTATTTAATTTTTTTGTAATTCAATCTTTTATATCAACTGCTTGCGGTTTTTAAAATGGTTTATTAAATGTTAAAATAATCGTAAATTACTTCATTAAAATTCCGCTCAAAAATATCTTTAAATATACTCAAACAAAAAATTTTTTGCTCGACGCAAACAGCCCTAGCTACACACAAAATCGCTCTTGGACGACTTAAAATTCACATCGCCCGACACTTTATTGCAAGGCCTGATATATATATATATATATATATATATATATATATATATATATATATATATATATATATATAATATATATATATATATATATATAAATATATATAAATATTGTCAGGCTAAAACCTCAGATTGTCCAATCAATTTACAAAGTCATTGGACATTTTGTCTGGCAAGATTTTTAATTCTTTAAAATAAAATTTTATTTGTTGATTTGAAATTGACAAATTTAAACTTAATGTAAACTATTAGACAAACTTATAAAATATGTTGATAATGGAGGCATTTATTCCCAAAAAAAGCGATGTTATTAATTATAGTTTTAATGACTGTTCTTTAACAGTTTTATTGTTATATTATTAAATTTAAAATTATTGCTTATTTAAAATGATCGCAAAATTCAAAGTATGTTCGATTGATTACTGCAAACGCCATGGACACCGAAAAGCAAAGAAAAGCTAGCAGTTTAAAAAATTTGATAATAAAAGATTTTACAAATGTGTTTTTTTAGAGGCTGAGATCTCATCGATGGAGTATTTTTGAAAAAACATTAAGAAAATATACATTTAAATATTAATGTTATAATCATCCAAATCATTCTATTTTAGCTTGAGCGGTTTCTCGGTGGCATCCTGGTCCTACTCGAGTTTTCCGATTCTTTATTTATTATTCGTTTTTTAAACTATATCTTTAATTGTATTTTTTTTCTTATTATTTATTTTATATATATATATATATATGAGTATATTTATATATATATATATATATATACATATATATATATATACATATATATACATATATATATATATATATATATATATATATATATATATATATATATATATATATATATATAAATATAAATATATATATATATATATATATATATATATATATATATATATATATATATATATATATATATATATATATATAAGATTAAAAAGTTCTAGCTTTATAAAACTTGTCTGCAAAAGAAGGAGTGCCTTTTTGAAAAGTAGATAAATAATAACCTGTAGAACTCATAAAATTTTCTTCGTTGAATTGATTGAATTTTAATGACATGCAGCGCATGGAATTTTTAAATTAAATAATAGCCTGTAAATATTATATTGCGTTTGATTTAACTGCCTTTAAATAAGTAAAAGCGAAGTTTAAAGTTTTTATATCAAGTTTAAAAATAATATGTTTATCTTAATATTTAATATATTAAAGACATTATTATTCTATATTACTTTAACAAACTTGTTTTCTTGTCGTTTTTATTATTGATAAAAATAGTTACATGAACTAGCAAAATTTAAACTTAGCATATTATATTTTTTTAAGTAAAAAAATTTACATAACTTTTATAAACCGGTAATGCAATTTAATGTAAACTAACAAGGTTTTCGAGAGAAAAAAACTCAATAAAACTTCAAGTCTATCTTAAAAAATGCGCAGTATTGAATTTAAACTATTTCATTTAAAATACAAAGATCTACGATGATAAAAATTCTGAATATTAAAAAAAAAACTACAACTTCACCAGCCTAAAATAAAATAAACTGGGAAAACATAACATATATTTTGATTGGATTATTGGGTTCCGTAAAACTCAGATACGCCAGTAGCTAGTCTAATCTTTTTACTGTGTTCCATTTAACAAAACAAATATGAATATATGTAAATATTGTTGAAAATTATTTGTTTAAATTTTCCGAAAATTATTTGTTTAAATTGTTCAAATTGTTCGATCAAAATAACTTTTGGTCGGACATTTTGTTCGGGACCTTATAAAAAATTAAATTAAGCCCTAAATATATATATATATATATCCATTGCAAAATTAGCATCTGCTAAGGTTGCATCTCTTTATCGAGCTCGACACTTTCTTACTCCAGATTCTATTCTCTATCTCTATAAATCTCAAATCCGTCCCTGTATGGAATACTGTTGCCACATCTGGGGCGGATCTTCTAATGATGCTCTTTCTCTTTTAGACAAGGTGCAAAAACGAATTGTAAACATAGTTGGACCTGCTCTGGCAGCCAATCTCCAACCTTTGTCACATCGTCGTAATGTTGCTTCTCTTTCTCTTTTCTACAAATACTATAATAGGCACTGCTCTAAAGAGCTAGCGTCCCTTGTGCCATCTACTAAAATTCATTCTCGTGTTACTCGCCATTCAATTAAGTCTCATCCTTTTTCTGTGACTGTTCCTAAGTGCTTCAAAAACTCTTATTCTTCTAGTTTTTTTCCTCGAACATCAGTTCTTTGGAATTCGCTTCCTTCATCTTGCTTTCCTGATTCATATAATTTGCAATCTTTTAAGTCATCAGTCAATCGTTATCTTGCTCTACAGATTTAGTCTTTTCTCTTCCAGTAACTTCCAACTCTTATAGTGGTTGCTTGCAGCCTTGTTGGAAGTGAAGATGTTAAAAAAAAAAAAAATATATATATATATATATATATATATATATATATATATATATATATATATATATATATATATATATATGTATATATATATGTATATATATATATATATGTATATATATATATATATATATATATATATATATATATATATATATATATATATATATATATATATATATATATATATATATATATATATATATATAAAGTTTTATTTCCTCTAAAAACTAAAAAACTGATGTTTAAAATTTTTTATTTTGTTGGCGTATGATTTAAATGTTTTATAAATGAAGTGAAGTAACTGATTTATAATTTATAATCTATTGATTGAAAAAAAGTTAAAAATGTAATTATTAATAATTATTTAATTAATTATGGTATAAAATTTGGGTTCAGACTGTTGTAATTGTTAGTGATGTACCTATAGCATATTTGTGGCCAATATGATGGGAAAAAAATGCTGATACTGATGAATTAACTAATTATTAAAATTTTGAAATTATAAAACCATACAACTTTAAATCGTGTAAATTCTTTCAAGTAATCAGTTTTGCTAAAAAAATACTTGAACCCAAATCAGAGCCAAACCATTATTTAAAAGGTATTAGAAAAACTCAGTTAAAAAATATACATTTTTTAGTTTTTTTTTACTATGAAAAAAAAATAAATAAATAAATACAATTTTAGAGTAACACTTTTTATTTCAATTTTAAAAAGAAGATGGTACTAAGATAAGCAGTTTACTTAGAGTTCTTTATAAATTTATTAGTAATTTAGATATCTAAACAACAATCATATAGAAGTATAGAAGGCTATACTTGAATACATAGATAACAATGATTAAATAAGTTATGTTTAAATATAACAATAGAACAACAACAACAACAAAATTTTCTAAAAACAACATGGTAATAAAAGTAGAAGTACATTCAGATGTTAAGTTAAAGTTTACATCTTAAAAATAAACAAATGTATAAAAATAAACAAGTATGATATAAGAAAATGTATAAGAATAAACAAATGTATAAAAAGGTATAACAATAGAACAACAACAAAAAAAAATTCTAAAAACAACATAGTAATAAAAGTATATTCAGCTGTTAAGTTAATGTTTATAAACATCATTTTATGAATAAACAAATTTGCCTGTAAACAAAGTCAAAATAAAAAATTTCTCAAAAAATTCTAAGTAATGCAAGTTTTAGTTTATTTATTATTTAATTATTATCATAATGCAGGATAAAATTATTAAAATGTCATTGGTTGGAAAATTGGTAAATTAATAAAAAAAAGATGATACCGTTTCTGATTGTGTAAAAAGTAGCTGATTAAGCCAATATTGATTAATCGGTACATCACTAGTAATTGTAATTGTAAAAGTTAAATAAAATAACACATTACAATACAGTAATATTGTATTGTAATAACAGAGATGTAATTAAAATGTTATTGTATTGCTGTGATGAAAAGCAGCTACAATAACTTTTGTATTTTAATTTGTTAATGAAAAAAAATTAACTATTGTGGTGTATTGTATTACTGTTTCAAAGTCCAATAGCTATTTTATTTTAAAGTATTTAGATTTTTTTTCCACGCATTTATTATTATTTGCCTTCTAGAAAATTAAGATAAGCCAAAATGTGGCTTGTTTTTAGCAGTCATTTACATATATAATTTTTTTTTTGTGAAGTGAAGTGAAGCCAGGTAAGCCAAAGAAGTATATATATTATGTATTCTTAATAAATATATCAATGTATACAAAAACCTTCTAAATTCCAAAAACTATTTTTTCAGGAAACGAAAAAAAACGCATAAAATCCAAAATTATTACTTTAATAAATTAAAAAAAAAATCTTTCAGCTCTCTATTCAACGTGTACAGAAAGGTCTGACTTGTAATGTTTTACTATACAATGGTGGAACTGTCTTCAAAGAGCAAATTTTCATCAAAAAGTCGACTATTAAAAAAAAAACGTTTTTGTATACATTGATTCAAATATGAAATTCAGGGGTGCCTGTGGCACCCATTTCTAGCAACCATTTACATATAAAATTTTTATTTATTTTGAGTTTAATAATATAACTGTTTAAAAAATAATTTATTTAAAATTAAGATTAATAATATTCATTTAAAATCATACAAATATATAATTTATTTAATTTATTTATTATAATTTATTATATGTTTATTATAATTTATTATAATTTATTAAATGTTTATAATTGAATAATTATTTATGTGAAGTGGAAATTTTGATTTTTTAAAATTTTGTCTAAATTTAGATAAATATTTGAATGTTTCACTGGATTATGACGTATAAACTAATTGATTAACTACTTAAAGCGTGTGAAATAATTTTTTATTATTATTATAATTAACTGCTAATAAGTAATAAATTACAGAATTATGGAATCAGGAAACCATTTACCTGGATAATTTTATATTGGATTGTCTAATCATGTGAACTACTTTTATTTTGCAATAATCTTTTTTAGATTACTCATTACCTATCAGACTGTACTGTTAAATTTTGTAGGTGTGTAGTTTTTGAAAAATGAGACAGTTTAGTATACCAAATAAATATTCTTCTTGATTTATGTAACAAAATTTTTGTTTAACTTCACTACTAGACCTAAAAGTCCAGTTTCTTTATGGAACACATACAACCACGGACATACAGCCATGGACATACAGCCACGGACATACAGCCATGGGCATACAGCCATAAAATTCTCAGGGAAACTAAAGACAAAGTTATATTAGAGTCGTATTTGAATAATTATTGAAACAACTGGGTAGGTGCCTTGTGTAAAAGCAAATAACTTATTTAAAGAAATGGTAGTAATTGATCATGTATATATGTCTATCCCCAGCATTAAAAGAGGAACAGGTCAGGTCAAACTCATTTTTATAGACCTATTTAAAGTTTACAACTAGGATATGTGATATTCAGTAAATAAAAAAGAAATGGAATCAATAATTATATACTAGTTGTACCCTATTTCAAGGTCACATGACTCAGAGACTAGACTAATAATGAAGTTTGCTTATTTTGACATTACAGTAATTTTTTTTATTACAATAACAATAAATTGTTATTGTATTATAAAGATGAATTGCAATACAATATTTATTGTTATTGTATTACAGTATTACAATACACAGGTACTGTTATTGTTTAAAAAAAATGTTAATACAATAACAATAGTTATTGTTTATGTTGTTTTCATTACAACTACATTAGTCCAAACACTAACTAAAATACAGTAATACAAATTGTTTCTATATTATCAAGTATAATGACAGTACAATGTTATCATTTAAAGATTTTGTTTTTTACTAAAAATTCATGGATATCAAAATCAAAATGTTTTTTAAAAAAAGGTTGATTTAGCACTTTTCATGTTCTTCCCTAAAAAATTTAAGATTTTTCTATTTATAAAGATAAAAGTTTCATGACTGTGAATTAAAATTAATCTAAATTTTATTATTATATTATAAAATATAGTTTTATATAATATAATTTTGTACAATATTATAATTTTTTTTTTATAGAAGCGCATTGACAAGTTTATTGAAACAAGAAATTTTACTGATGCCTTCAATGTTGCTCTTCATGCTGATAACTTATCTGTGGTTGTTTATGTGTGTTCGAAGGTTGATCCAAATGATTTATTTTCATTAGAAGATCCATTTCCTCAAAATTATATACTATCTTTAATTCAACAGCTTTCTGTTGATTTGAACCAAGACACGGAGATCAAAACAAAGTATTCATTATTTTCTTTTTTCATTAGATTTTTTTTATTATTATATTTAATATTTTTATATTTGTACTTTTGTTATACATTTTATCCCTAATTTATATTATTACCAAAATTAAATTTATGTTTAAGAACAAAGTTAATGAAAAACAAATAAATAATAATTAAAAATATATATTTTTATAAAGGTATTTAGAAGAATCTATAATGGCACTAAATCCTTCTGATGATGTTACTAAAGATCACATGCCAGGTGTACTTCTTGGATTAAACGGAATGCTCAATGAAACTATTGATTTTCTTCTTTCTAATGATCCTGCTAATAGGCAAATAAAACCTCTCAAGATGTTGCTAATGGCATCTAAATCTTTACTTGTGGGTGAATAGAATTTAGGAAGTATGGATTTTAGCCTTTTTAACACATAGGCTAAATGTGGAGGTACCAGCTATAAAGTTAGATGTGATATGTCTACTTGAGGCGTTTGTAAAAGCTAAGTAATGAGCACTAAGTGATCTGTTATGTCATCGTATTCATAATAAAGTGTTTTACATTGTTTTGTGAAATGCTGAGACGATACATTTTGTTAATCAGTGTGATAGTCAAGTAGGGAAAGTAAGTAGTAGGGAAAAAGATGAGAAGAGGAGAATGATGAGAAGACCTTGACAAGAAGAAAATCATGACGAGAAGAAATTAAAATAAAAATGTTATCTTTTATTTTTTGTTTTGTTTACTGTTTTTTTGGGTTCTTTCATACATATATGTTACACAAAGTTTTTAGGCTTTTTTATCTTTCTATTTTGCAGTTTACTAAGTTCCAGTGTTTTTTATTACAATCTAAAAGCAGTTGACTTTCTTATTCTGCTGTAGATAAAGTTGCTGGCATATTTTTTATTCATAATTTTATTTTTAGTATTAAATCTTTATTAACAGTTTTTTCATTCATTTTGTTTGAATTGTTCATTCAATTTGTGTTTACTCAAATCTTTTAAATTAAAATGTTTTCTTAAGAAATATAGTTTTTTTTTTTTTGTTTTCATAATTTGTTTTTGAAGGAAGTTTATATTGTTATGTTTAAGTAAATGATTCATAAGACATAAAATTATTATAAGTAAGATTTATTAATAAAGATTTTTTAGTTTAAAAATCTAAAAACAGAATAACCTAATACATATAAAACAGAAAAATAAAATACATCTAAAACACTTTACTGAGTCCACTATATAGTTTAGTTTAAATTTTTTTAAATACAAATTCATTCTCTTGCAAGTTGAGATTTACTATAAGGAAAAAAAGATAGCTGTCAACAGGTAGTTGGCATAAGATTTTTTGGGGGGGTTATATATATATATATGTGTATATATATATATATATATATATATATATATATATATATATATATATATATATATATATATATATATATATATATATATATATATTATATATATATATATATATATATATATATATATATATATATATATATATATATATATATATATATATGTATATATATTGATGTTTTTAGTAATCCATGTAGACATAGGTGTACTGCCTAAGAATAATTAAGTGATTATAAATTTTTTAAATTATTTAAAAATATTTACTTATACACAAAACTTTATTAAAAAATCATTTAAAAGTATTTAGAATTCAAGTTATTATTATTAATAATTACGTTAGTAGTTAATAATATTAACAATAACAGTGTTTTAATAAAACTTTATTATTAGATTTAAAGAGACAGTTTCAGTTGTAAAATGAGAAATGCACATTTGGATCTCTCACGATTTGTCAGCACTTTTTTTTTAATCTTATTTATGTACATCACATCAGTATCTTTGACATTTTATAACAAATGGATGACTAAGGTAAATTTTTTGTTGTTGTGTTTGTCTGAAAAACTGTCTGGGTTAAAGCATTTTAAAACTTAAAGAATGCAAAATATAATAAGCATACTTAAGTGCAATCCAGATAAAAGTTTTTAGACAAAGTAATTAAATCTGCTATGTTTGTAACTCATGTCCTTAGAGATCTAAACACATAGTTATTCTAGATCATTACTAATAATTGCAAATTTGGTGCTGATAACACACTTAACAATCACAATTTGCATGGGTGATTATGTAGTTATCAACCAATATAAAAATATCTTATATCCTTTACATATATTAAAATCCTAATTCAATCATTGTTATTATAGAGTATAAGATTACTTGCTAAACATTCACAATAAAAACTTGTAATGAAAAACCACATGCCTAGATAAACGATTGCTGCATGTTTTAACATGCCCAAGAGAAGCTCTTATAAAATGAACATAGTGAGCCATTCAAGCAGCTCCTCTAAACATGGTGAGCCATGCAAGCAGCATGGCAAGCCATGTTTAGAGCCTCTAAACAGCTTTTTACAAGAGTTTTCAGTTTATGCTATCTGTTTATCTGTTAGAAAAATTGTTCTGTTAACTTTAACAATACAAGCATATGCTTGTAAAGTTAATGTTACAAGAATATAAAAATAAGCATTGTTTATTGTGACCTGAAAAACATTTTTTACTAAAACTGTGCTTTTAAAAAAGCATTGCAGTTTATTATGCAATTATTGGTTTATTTTAAAAATGGCTTTTTTTTAATATTAGTTACAATGAAAATGGTTTTCTTTTATAAACAACTTCACAAACTTGAACTTTGTCTTTTTTATTCTATATATTTTGCAGAAGAATTTTTTAATTTTTTTTTAATCATTATCTTAAAAAAGAAAGAAAAAAAATATATACCTTAGCCATAGTAAACCACTTTCGGGGAGTGAGGGCAACACCATAGTTTCTCTCTTTATATAAATATATGTATATATATATATATATATATATATATATATATATATATATATATATATATATATATATATATATATATATATATATATATATATATATATATATATATATATATATATATATATAAAGGGAGAAACTATGGCGTTGCTTGTATTAGTTTAGTTTTAAAAATTTAAAAACTAAAAGTATTTCCATTTGCTGCACTTTTATTGAGCTACTAAGAAATACTGCACTTGAAACCTTTGTGTATTTATAGATTATGTTATATATGTAAAAAAAAAAAAACTATTGAAAGTTTTAAATTTTTTCTGCATGAAGCGTATTTATTGAATTATTAATTAACAAATCATTTATATCTGTTTTTTGCATTAAAATTAACATTCCGTCCTGGATATAAGGGTCAGTATTTTTAACTTCTGGAGCAGTGAGTTATTTTACCAGATACCTTGATTAGTATCTACGTTTTTCTATTGTTGCTCTGTTTTATTATCAATATGGAAATTAGTTATTGTATTAGCTTTCATAGAGACAAATAGACAATGACTAGAGTCATTGTCTATAGGCTTCTCATAAAATGTAAAAAAAAACTATATTAGTCTCTAATGAGATTTTTTGTCATTTATTAATAGTTTTTTCAGTTATTAATTTTATTGTCTCTACCGCTAATATATTTTGGTACCAAAGTACAGCAGCAAAGTGGTGGAAAGTTATATTAAATAATAGATATGTTCCGTTATGTCCCGTTCGTTATTTATTTTTTAAATTTTATTTCTTCAGTTTTTTAAAATTGAAAGATCAGAAAAGTTGCCATGTTTTGCCACATACTACACATATTTTTTTAACAAATGTAATTTCACTATTGATTTGCACTATCAAATACAGGAAATTCATGTGAATACAAATAGTAAAAAAAAAAAAAAAAATTGGTGTTTGACTTAAATAATAATTTCTTGGCATTAAACTTGACAAAAGTACACGAGAAAGATGTAAGTTAGCAAAATTTAATTTTTCAATCATTTTTTCTTTAAAAAGTTTCATTAAGATTTGTAGACAAATTATTCTTTTGTGTAGTCTTCTTTGTTGTCATTTGATTAAAATTTTTGTCTTTCAGGTGTTTGACTAAATAATGACTGTTTGATTGAATACCATCATGCCAGTAAAAATCTAGAATCAATTGTACAGTTGAAGTATATAATGCTATATATATTCAATGCCATATTATTTGTAATGCCATATTTGGCTAGGTTTTTTTTGTGGATCAGGGTATCAAATTTAACTGAACATAATTTTTTACAACTTAAACTTGCTTAAAAATTTTTAAAAGTATTTTAAAGTAGGCAAGGTCTTTAAAAGTCAATTCTACACCACAAAATAATTAAACACATCTAGCACATATTGCACAGTTCAATATAAACATGTAGTACAGTACATATTATGAGATGTATAAGGGGTGTTACAACTATTTTTTAATGCTATAGAAATTTTGAATCTTAATTTAAATAAAAAATATTTTGGGTCTGGAGGAACATTTATAGCAAAATTTTTTATAATTATTTAATTTTAAAAATTAAAATAGTTATAAACAATTATTTTAATTTTTAAAATTAAATTTTAATTATTTAATTTTTTTTTTTTTCGGTTTGTCAAAAAATACTTTTATAACATTTTTGGAATTTGTTTAGAAGTTTCATTTTCCATTGACTGTTAGTATGATACATTTTGTTGTTGTATTTATTATTGCATCTATAATACGCAAAGTGTATGAAGCTCATTACAAGCAAAAGCGAGTTGTTTTGGATTGGAGTACTTATATAAAGAAATGTTTTCCTACAGGTTTAATTATTTAAATAAAAAATTTAATTAAAAAAAAAAAGTTTTAATTTAAAAAATTTAAAAACTTTGTTATTGTTAATAATTAAGTATTTTACTTTATTGTTATATTATTAATTTGTTAATTTAAAATTAAATTGTATTTCAAAATATATAAATTTTAAAGTTTAGAAAATTATAAATAGTAATTGAAAATTAGGAAATGAGTGTTCAAAACAAAAAAAATTTTTAGGACCTTGTTTATTAAATGTTAAGCTTAAAAAATTATTATGAAAGTAATAAATAAATTTATCCGTTTTATTGAGTTTAGCTGTTAGTGGATCATTAGACATTGGTTTGTCAAACTGGAGCATCATGTTGAGCACTGTTTCTTTGTGAGGAATTTTACTCTTTTACATATATTCCACACATATATACAAAAATTTATATGTTAAAAAAAGTTTTTTAATAAATATTTTTACAATCTTAATTAGGTATACTATGGCTAAATCCAGTACTATTATATTCATTGTTGGTTTTTCACTTTTGTTCGGTTTAGAAAAGTTGGTAATAGTTGTTATCTTTTTAGTCTATATTTTTTTAATTTATGTTTTTAAAATTTATATTATTTTTTATGTAAGAACTTATTTTTTTATAAGCATTTTTGTGTATGAAATTAAAAATATTTTTTTAAAGTTTACTTTACTGAGACTACTAAGTTTGGTATATTTCTAAAATTTAATAAAATATTTTAAAAACTTAGGTTATTCTTAAATCTGTAACATCTTAATCAAGTAATCATTTGAAATAACAGCAAGTTGTTAAAAAAAATACTTATACAAAAATATACTTATTGTAAAATGGGTTATAAAAGGTAAGTTAATTATATATATCAAACTTTCATTGTAATAATTTTATGTACTAACAAATAAAAAATTTAATAAAATCATTAATAAAAACTAGCTACCAAAATAGTGGAGAGCAAAATCAAAATATTTTTATTTTTGATCTTTTAAGAGAAAAGACAAAGTGAGAATAACTAAAAGTCAACTAAAAAGTGTGAACAACTAAGTCAACTGAATTTGCTAGATAAATAAGTAATAATAACCAGAAACTTAAGTTAATACTTAAATAAACTCTTTTAAGTCTTTTATTAAAAACAACATCAAAATTACATTTATACTTCGAATTCAATTACAAAATTGTATACTTTAAATTCTACAACAAAGTTATATACATACTTTTATAGCAAAAATATAAACAAACTTGAAATTCAAATATAATAGAGCTTTTAAAAAATTACATAACTTTAAAGAAAAAATAAAAAAGTAAAAATAAAAAACTTAATTTTGAAAAAAAAAATTATAAACCATTTAAGAGATATTGGTACTGTTTGTTCATTGTTGAAAGTCAAAGAGAAAGTTCATGATTTTTAAGAACCTGCTTAGTTCATAAAAAAGGTCTGTTTTACTTCATATGCTTAGTTCAGAGAAAGGTCTATTTTACAGAAAACAGTAACATGGCAGGGAACATTGAACGTTTATTGTAAAAATGTAATAAGTTTAGATAAAGTTGTAACTTACTAAAGGCATTAAACATTGAATGTATGTTTAATATTATGATTTATTTTTGTATACTATAGATACAGTTTACACTAAAAAGTACAATAGATGCAGTATGTATTACACAGTACAGCTTTTATATTATAGATACAGTATGAGTTACACAGTACAGCTTGTATAGTAGGTTCAATTTTAAAAATTGCAAAACCCAAACACCATAAATTTTACTTTTTTTAAACTCTGCTTTTTTAGTTATGAAGGTTTCAAAATTTTCTATTTTAATTTTGTTGTTGTTTTTTACTCAAATCAACTTCAACTTAGTAAATAATTATTCAAAATGATGTCATAATATAAAATTTATAAATTTGTTATAGATGTTTAGTTATAGTTATTATGGTGTTTGCCTTATGTTGTTATAGATGCTAATTTTAGGTTAGTACATATATGTGGTAAGCATATTTTAGTTATGTGTTAAGTATATATGTTGTTATTTGTTTTTTGTTTTTTGTTATGTGTTAAGTGTATATGTTGTTATGCATATATGTTTATATGTTTATATGTGTATATGTGTGTATGTGTTATGTATATATGTTTATATGTTTATATGTGTATATGTGTTAAGTATATATGTTTTTTTGTTATGTGTTTAGTATATATGTTGTTATTTATTATTTGTTTATTTGCCTTATGTTGTTATAGATGCTAATTTTAGGTTAGTACTGATATGTGGTAAGCATATTATAGTTATGTGGAAAGTATATATGTTGTTATTTGTTTTAAGTATATATGTTGTTATATGTATTAAGTATATACGTTATTCTATGTGTTAAGTATATATGTTGTTATATATTTTAAGTGTAATTTTATTATATGTGTTAAGTATATATGTTGTTATATGCGTTAAGTATGTATGTTGTTATATGTTTTTAGTATATAGGTTGTTATATATGTTAAATTTATATATTGTTATATGTATTAAGTATATGTTATGTATAGATTAAAGACAGTATTAAAAATGTAAAGAAGTAAAACAATGCATAGACATTATGTATCATTATCATCATAGGTTGACATAATGTATTATTATCATCATAGGTTGACATTATGTATCATTATCATCATAGGTTGAGGACAGATTTCTTTATTAAAAAGTTAAAGAAGTTAATTAATGCATAGACATCATAGACAGCTTTTGCAAGGTTATGCATGGTGACATGCTATGCTTTTTTTATTCCAATGTTTTTTCAAACTAATTCTAAATCTACTTCTGTATTTTCTTAAAGAGAAACCTTATAAACAAAATGTAAAATAAATTAAAATTATGGAACTCCTTAACTAAATTTGTTTTCAATTTTCTTTAACACATTGATTTTTTTAAAATTATATCTTGTCAATGAGTAAATCCTTCTTTTCTGTAAAACATGTAAAAGATACATTTTATAGATTGAAAAGTAAATAATTAAAAAGAAATATAAATAAAAATATTTTAAATTAATGCTTTTAGTTATTATACATATAAATGTGACATTTAAATTCATAGGATCGATATCTTTGTGCTGCTGTCGTTCTTATTTTCATTGGGCTGTGTCTTTTTACTTTAGAAGATCAACAGTTTAGTTTTTATGGTTTCTGCATGGTGAGACTTTTGATGTATTCTGAAAATGTTTGAATATCATTAAGTAAATTTACTTTTTAACGATGCTCATTTAATTGTTTTGTATACTTTTATTTAACAACTAATGATTTTGTTTCTCACACTACATGAAGTCTATATGTTCAGAAAAAAGGAATTTATATTTATATAATATATATATATATATTACTTGAATTTATTACATGTTTAAGGGTGTTGCTGCATCACTTATGGGTGGTGTTCGTTGGACAACCTCAGAATTGATTATGCAAAAAAAAAGTTTAGGTACACTTTTTTTTAACATCTAAATAAATTAATAATCAAAGTTTTATGTATTTTTAATTTTTGAATTTAGGCTTGCATAACCCATTTGATGCTATCTACCACATTCAGCCAGTAATGGCTATTTCTATGGTGTTTCTTGCTTTTTCTATGGAAGGTTTGTTTTTATTAAAAATACTCAAGTAATTAAAATATTGTTAATAGTTTATTATTAAAGTATTAATTAAAATATAATAAAATATAATATAATTATTTAAATATAAAGTAAAATAAGTTAATTAAAGTACTTTTTATAATTTCTTGAAACATATATAATTGATATCTACATTGTTTTTCTATTTAACTGCAGGGCCACAACTTGCTACTTCAGAATTATTCTTTCGTGCTTCCTCTCTAAAAGTTGCATTATCATCATTTTTAGTGATTTTAGTGGGTGCCACTCTCGCATTTCTTCTTATTGTGTCAGAATATTTAATTGTTTCTAATATGTCCAGTATAACTCTATCAATTGCTTCTATTTTTAAGGTAATGTGTTCATAAAATCTTATGTTATTATGATTTATTTTCAAAAGCACTTTTTTAGTGTTAAAACTTTTAGTTTTTTTTTTTTAATATTCACTCATTTCTTAAACAATATCTATTAAGAAATTATGCAATTATGTAAATTATTATAATGAAGTGATACAATCATATAAAGTTTTATAATATGTAAAATTTCAAAACACGGCACAAATAATTTTTTAAGTTATAAGTTACTTTTATGATTTTGTTATAATTCCAAAATATATTATAATATAATTTATTCTAATAACGTCAGAAAAATTGTTAATGATTATTTAAAGTTTTTAATTAAAATATTTTTTTTTTAATAATTTTTTAAAATATTATAATTTAATACAAAATTACTTGCAATTTTTAACATATTGTAACTAAGGATAAATCTATAACATAATGTAACTAAGGATAAATCTATAAAAAACAAATTTAATTACAAAACTATATACATACCTCAAACTCTATAACAAAATTATATACATACAGTTGAATGTAATTTGAATCCTTTAGGGAGGATTCAAATTAATTCGAATAACGAGAGTTTATCTTTACTTCAAATTCAATAACAAAATTGTATACATTTTTTGCAAGTATTTTAGAATAACATAATTTGTGATATATTGAATTTTTGTTTCATGCAAAATCGTTATTTTTGTTTCTTGTAGGCATAGCAACATTTCTAATATCAGAAAATATCTCAATATTTGACATCATTGCATAGTGTTGTACTGGTTTGTGCTATCTGTTGATAATTATTAGCAGCAGTAAAAAATGCTGATATGTTGTTATGAAAATTACTGGTGATTGTTCATTTTTTTGAAAACCTGTTCATGATTTCATTTTAAAGACCTGCTCATGTTTTTTTTTTTAAAGACCTGCTCATGTTTTTCATTTTGAAGACCTGCTCATGTTTTTATTTTGAAGACCTGCTTATGTTTTCATTTTGAAGACCTGCTCATGTTTTCATTTTGAAGACCTGCTCATGTTTTTATTTTGAAGACCTGCTTATGTTTTCATTTTGAAGACCTGCTCATGTTTTCATTTTGAAGACCTGCTCATGTTTTTATTTTGAAGACCTGCTTATGTTTTCATTTTGAAGACCTGCTCATGTTTTTATTTTGAAAACCTGCTCATGTTTTCATTTTGAAGACCTGCTCATATTTTTATTTTGCAACTGACTTTTATTTAAAAATAAGATGTTAATTTCACACATTCTTTTGTTTTTTATTAAGTTCTTTCTCAAATGCTCCTGTTTTTTATTCATGTTGACTAAATAATTTATATAAATAATAGAATGTTTATATTAAAAAAAAGATTTATAAAGATATATTAAAACAAAAAAATATAATATAAAAAAAGCAGTTGAGTAAAAGCATTTTATTAAGATGCAAAAAAAAAAAAAAACATTTTTTTGATTTTTGATTTATTCTATTGATAAACCATTTGAAAAAAATTGGACTAAACCTAATAAAATTTTAATATGATTATGCTATTTAATAAAAATTTAGTCGTTACTTATACAAATTATTGTTTTTTACAGTTTTGAAATTTTTTTTTCTAAATATAGACACAACATTACTTTGAATAAAAAAAAAAGTAATATATAAACGAAGGGATAATTTAATGATTTATACACCATATTGTTTAGAATCAACATTTGTTGAAATAATTTTTTCTAAAAAATCTGATACTATTGTTGGTGGCATTTATAAACACCCTTGCATATATATAAACGATTTTACAATTATCATGTCTGTCCTTCAAAAATAAATCGGTTTTCTTACTAGGTAATTATAATGTTGATCTGATACAATCAAATAATAACACTGCAACGCCTGGTTTTTTAAATTTGCTTTCTTTTTATAATATTCGTCCTTTGATCACTTTGCCAACCAGAATTACTAACCATTCTGCTACAATCATTGACAATATTTTTTCTAATTTAATAACTAATGAAATTATTTCAGGAAATTTGACAACTTCAGTTTCTGATCACTTACCTCAATTTTGAATTTGTCCTAATTTTAATAAGTTAAAATTTTAATAATCTTATAGAGAACAGTAATGTTTCCAAACATTTATTTCTGAAACAACCTTGATTTTGAATTGCTACGCCCTACATAAAAAAGTTAGTATTAAGAACTTCAAGCGTCGATTTAAACCTTGGATTGCAGATGGAATCTTAAAATCTATTCAAATATACAATCTTTTAAAAAAAGATCAAAAGATATTAGGAACATAAACACATTTAAAACTACTTTCAAACAATATAAATACATGATAATTACCTTAATTAAGCTCAGTTAAAAAATGCATTTAAAAAAATACTTTACAAAAAATGTAAGAAATCTTCACAAAATTTGGAATGGAATTAATAATTTAATAAATGTCAAAAACTCTAATCACTATTCTCCCAACTGTTTACAAGATAATGAAACATATATAACTGAACCAAATTTTATCTCTGGAAAACTTTTTTAAAAAACATCGCACAAAAACTTAAATCCAATATTCATTCGTCTTACATAAACTATACAAAATATCTTAAGTATCCAAATTTACATAGTCTACTCCTATCTTCAGCAAATATTCATAACGTTACATCTTTTATATCTACTTTGAAGCCGAGAAAATCAACAGATCCAAATAGCATTCCCACAACCATTCTTATCAATTTTAACAATGATTTTCAAATATTCTAAACTATTTAATTTATCATTCATAAATGGAACTTTTTCAAATATTTTAAAATTATTTTGTGTTATTCCAATATTTAAAAATGGCTCTAAACTTTTATGTACTTACTACAGACCTTTTTCTCTTTTATCTAACATTATTAAACTTCTTGAAAAACTTATGTATTCTAGAGTGTACTCTTTTCTTAACTCTTTTAACTGTTTAAATGAATTTCAATTTGGTTATTGTTCAAAACATTCTACCTGTTGTGCATTGATAAGTATAACTGAAAAAATCAGGAAAGCTCTCGACAGTAATTTTATAGATTTACAAAAAGCTTTTAATACTGTTAATCATAACATTTTGATTTCTAAATTAGAACACTATGGTATTCGTGGTGTTGTAAGTGACTGGTTTCCATCTTATCTTACAGATCGGAATTTGTATTAATGGTTTAATAATGTATTAATAGTTCTACTAATAAATCTGTTGTGTGCGGTGTTCCTCAAGGTTATGTTCTTGGTCCTCTTTTGTTCTTAATTTATATTAATGACATAAACAACTCTATTCGCTTCTTGTCAATTCATCTTTTTGCTGATGACACAAACCTATTGCATATTTACAAATTGTATAATTCTCTATGTAAAAACATAAATTCGAATCTAAAAGGTATTGTTCACTGGTTAAATGCTAACTTAATGTCTTAATGAAAAAAAAACTGAATTGATCTTTTTTTAATCTTCTAGAAAAAAAACACCATCTAAACAAAAATTTTGAAATCCAAATCCAAATTAATAATAAACAGTTATATATCCTACAAAATTTATCAAATATCTTGGTGTTTTGATTGACTGCAACCTCTCGTGGAATTTTCATATTAGTGAGCTACACTGTATGCATAGTGAATAAGTTCAAAAAACTACAACTTCAAACACCTTTATATTTTCTTAATCTTACACAAAACCAATTTTAAAAAATTCTGAAAACAATTTTGTTCTAATATATTGATATAATTTTCACTTAATTTTTAAAATATACTCTTATTTTTTTAAATTATGATTACTACAACTATTATCATTAAATTTTTTATTATTATCATCAAAGTATGGTTTTTTAAAACTTTACTTGTTTATGTATGTTCTATATGTATATTTTAATTATTAATCATATTATATTTAAAAAATTGGTGTCACTCCTTTGATTTTTTTTAATAGTTATTTTTTCAAACTAGTGTTATTTTTTTAAACCAGTGTCACTCCTTTGACTTTTTTTAACAGCTATTTTTTATAAAGGAAATTTGTGTACTTACTATTGCTGCTGAGTTTGGTGGCGATAAGTGGACCATGTTTAATTTTATTGGATTAGTCATTTGTATGTGTGGTATAAGTCTTCATATTGTATCCAAATTGTTAAAAGGTAAACGGTTTTCCTTTTAAAAGTTTTAAAGTTTTTTTTCTTTTTAAATTTCTTTAATAAATTGTTAAAAAGTAAATGATTTCTTTTTATATAAGTCGAAAGTTTTGAACATTTTTTAGTCCTGTAGAATTTTAGCCTAAATATTTTGTTAAATAATCCTGTAGAATTTTTGCTCAAGTAGGGTCAGATATCAACAAATATTATTATAAAAACATTTTATGCATTATTGCAAATTTTTTCTTAAGTGAAGTAACTACTGTGAATTAATTTCGCAGTGGTTACTGGGGTAACTATCCAACATAATCTTTTTTTTTTTTCCTAGAGCCATTCAATTATTTTTTTTTTAATAAAGTAGCTCACTCCCAACAAGACTACAGTCGACCACTAATAAAGCAGTGCCGGAAATTTAGGGTCCCCCAAAAAATTTATAGGCCTTTTTTTTTTTTTTTAGTTATTTTTAGTCTCTGGTCCATAGAAAGGCCTCCAAAAACAAAAATAGCCCCGGGCCCCAAGAAGTCTTAATCCGCCACTGTAATTAAGTTGAAAATTAAAACTAAATAAATAAGATTGTTATAGAACAATGTTTGTAATTTTGTAAAACAAGATAGAAATTCAAAACACCAATATTCAAAGAAAAAACTAAATAAATAAAAGTTTTTTGAGCATAAAGGAGCGTTTTCAATAAAACTTTGCTGAGTTTGGTGGCGTTATTTTATTTCCAACTAGTTGTTATTTTATTAAAAATGTGACATACAAAAGTAGCAACAGTGTTGCAACTGTTTTTTTTAATTTGATTTTTCTGTGAAAAATAGTAAACGTGTTGTGTTGCAATTGTTTTTTGTAAGTATTGCAATTATTTTTTTATCATACTATTGTGTATTCTATTGTGTATAAGTTTGATTATCTAGAAAGTTCAGTTTAATGTAAATCTCCTGAAAATGCAGATTAATTTAAAATATTTTTTAGCTTTTTTTTCAATTTTTTTTCAATTTTTACATTGTTTTAAATTTTTAGATCCAGCATATTCTGTGGTAAAAAGTGATGAAAGTGCGATAGCTTTAACTTCCCTTATAACAGAAGCTCAATCTGAAGATGAGGAAACTTTTAATTAAATTTTCGTATTTAATTTATAAACTATTTTAGATGTTTTTTAAACATATTTTATAATACAAATTATTTATAATAATTTATCTACATACAATAACTTAAAATAGCATTTTATAACTATACTACGAATATGATTATAAATTTCTGAAACTTAGATTCTTCAAAATTTGGATGGAAAAGTATTTTATTATTAAAATTATTATAATTATTTTTTTATGCTTTTATAATTATAAAATTATTTAAACTTATATTTAATATCACAGAAATATTACTTTATTTTTTGTTTTGAAATTTCTAGTAATATAAATGTTATTTTTTTATTTTTATGGCGTTTGAATTATGTATTTTTGTATTTATGATATAGAAATATTGTAAATTTAAAAACAGAAAGAAATATATTTAGCCGATAATTTTGAACAATTTTTCTTTAATAGAGTTTTTTTTTTTTTGATTATACTTTTTTAATATTTAAATATAATTTTTTTTTTGTGCAACATTTTTAAGTTTAAACTTAAAAAATTATGCATTTTTATGTTCAAGCATGCTACATTTATTAATCTAAAAATAAATTTAATTATAATGAAATAATAATAATTAAACAATGTGCTTATAACACAAACTAAGTAATTATATTAATATTGATACTCGTTAGATTTAATTTAAAAGTTATATATTTCATATATTAACATATGAAACTTTTATTACTTAAAAACATTTGTAACTATATCATATTTTTTATATTTGCACAAATAATATGTTAAAATATAGTGTGTATAGTCAAGGCCGGCGCGATAGGGGGCGTGGGAGGGGGGTGTCACACCCCCCTATCAGTGATTTTCAGTCGGCAAATTAGACCCTTAGTCGGCAAATTATAAATATTATTGGTGAAATTGCACGAGCTTGCAACGGTATATTTTCAAATCGTACAACGGTTCATGATGGCGTTAAGTGTATTTGATATTATTCATGTTGGTCACATTTTCTAATTAGACTTTTACGCTGGTTCTAGCAAAAATTTGGTAGGTCGGGTGAAGTCTGTTCTAATCTATGTGCAGTATTTTTATTGAAATCAGAAAAAAAAAAAAAATCTTAAACATTTAGTAAAATTAATAAATATTTAATAAAAATAACATTTACGTACTACTACAATTTTATCAAAAATATTTATATTAAAAACAATTTTTTTGCATTATTTTGCATCATTCTTTTTTTTTTTTAGCAATAATAAAAATGAATGGGCTCCAGAATGCCAACCCAGAAATCTATGAGAGTGTTGGCGATAGAATTGTCACTGATGAAGAAAAAAATGAAGAAGTTTATGATTGTTTTGATGCTAGAGAAATTTTTGATATCTTTTATTTTTTACATTTTGTTCGAATAAATTTAGATACGTTTTATATGTTGAATCATAAAATTATATATTACTGTCGTCTTCAAAATTGTTGTTTTTTGTTTTTACATCTTCTGTTTTATCTGTTGATTTAATGTGATTAATTGATTGAAAAATCTTTAACTTTTTTACATTTAATCCGTTATATCAACGATCCTGAACATCCTTTGACATTAGAGCAACTAAACGTGGTGGAAGAAAAAAATATACAAATAGACGACACGCAAAACTCACTACAGGTCTATTTTACCCCTACCATTCCGCATTGTAGTATGGCAACATTAATTGGGCTTTCCATACGTGTTCTTTTACTTCGTTCGTTACCTTCGAGATTTAAGGTATTTATATATATATAAATATATATATATATTTTATATTAATATATTATAATAATATATTTTTATATTAATAACAATATCTATAGTTATCAAACTAGTATTTATAGCTATCAAAATAATATTTATAGCTATCAAAATAGTATTTATAGCTATCATAATATTATTTATAGCTATCAAAATAGTATTTATAGCTATCAAAATAATATTTATAGCTATCAAAATAATATTTATAGCTATCAAATTAATATTTATAGCTATCAAAATAATATTTATAGCTATCAAAATAGTATTTATAGCTATCAAAATAATATTTATAGCTATCAAAATAATATTTATAGCTATCAAATTAATATTTATAGCTATCAAAATAGTATTTATAGCTATCCAAATAATATTTATAGCTATCAAATTAATATTTATAGATATCAAATTAATATTTATAGTTATCAAAATAGCATTTATAGCTATCAAAATAATATTTATAGCTATCAAATTAATATTTATAGCTATCAAAATAATATTTATAGCTATCAAAATAGTATTTATAGCTATCAAAATAACGAGTACAAGTGTTTAAATTTCTGTTTAGATAAATAAGTTAATGATTAATTTATATTATGTTTTTATACTTTTATAACCTTATTGTTATGAATCTCACTAGAGAAATGCGATAAGACAAAATTTTTATTTTCTTGTTTTATATTGATGTATCTGTTCTGATGATGTTCTATTCTGTTGGTCTCGAGACTTTGTCCCATTTAGATTAATAATATATGTCCCAGCTTTGCGAAATTTATGATATTTTTTCATGAAAATTATTTATTGCAGGTTGACGTTATGATTTCGCCAGGAACCCATGTTTCAGAGACAGCTGGTGAGCCTAAATTTAATTAATTTGTTAGGAGAAAAATTGTGTAAAATTGTGTAAAATTTCATTTTATTTCTTCTTTTGTTATTTAAAAAATACTTTAGTCATCAAATCATTTTATTAGTTTCGAATATCATATTTTAATCATAGAAAATTGTTTGTGTGATTTTATGTGTGCTTTTTATTATCATAGCGAAATTATTTTATTATCTATTTTTTTTTTTTTTTACAGTGAACAAACAGCTAGCTGATAAAGAAAGAGTTGCAGCTGCCCTCGAAAACATTCACTTGTTAAATGTTATTAATCAATGTCTTAAAATGTGCTGAAGCCCTTGAAATTTAATTTTTTAAATCAATCATTGTATAAAGAAATTGTGACCTTATTGTGGAATGTGTGACCATTTGATAGGAAAACTTGTTGTGCGACCATATTATTCTTTTATTCGAGACGTTTAGTACAAAATTTTCACAACCCTTAACGTTCATTCGAACTATTATTTAATAATGCTTTATAAATTCAAACTTTATATAATTTTAAGTAATTTTTTTTCTTATATATCAATACTAAATAATAGCTAAAGTAAAATTGAAAAAAAAACTCTTTTCGCTTCGGTGTATATTTTTTACTATTTTTTTTTTTTTAATCTTTTAATTCAACAATTTTATCCAATTTAGCAATTTATCAAAATAGCTCGATCAAAATAGTCGAAAAAATAGTCGTAGGTTTGCAATAACTTGCATAGAACTGAAAATTATTAAATTTTATTGAAAAGTTATTAAAAATAGAATGTAAAAAGTCCACACCGATTCCACATCTGCAAAAAAAGTACGGATGTAGAATTTTCTGTGGATCGCCTATAAAGTATGTCACGCAATTTTTGATCGTTTTTCACCTCTCTTTTCCTCTCGTCACAACATCGTTACACTTTAGCAACAAGTCGTCGCAAAATCACTTCCTCCTTTCCCTCCTTCATCCCCCATATAGCATGACGTAATTCATACCCCTAGTGTATTTTACTAACTACAAAAAAAGTTTCTGAGGCATTTCTTTGATTTTGGATTAAAACAACAAAATGTTGCACAGTTTTAAAGAGTTTTATTTTTTTAGCTGTTCTAAAATAAATTACATTTAATTAAAACTAGGTTTTTATAAATGTGATATGTTAAAAAAAGCAATTGAATAGTATTAATTTAGTATAATTTTTATTTACTAATTTTTTTAAATATAATTTCTTTTAAAGCCATTTTTATGACCCCTGTTATGAACAGATGAGAAGTAAACCTGCAAAACCAGATAAGTCAACTCTGAAAAAATTACGGGAAAATGAGAAAAATAAAAAACATTTTTTTAATGATTCTGCAGAAATCAACGATTTCATCATGCTTTATCCTGTCTGATTATGCACGTCTGATCTATTTGAAGGCGCGTAGAACATATCCACAATGCTTGGGGCACTAAATGCACGTAAAATGTTAGGAGTGGAATTGTCTGGTTTTGCATGATCATTACTTAAATATTCTTTTGCACGATTTTTCAAACTAAATTTTCTACTAAGTTATAGGCGCTAAAAGTTTCCTCCCGTTAAACTAAGTTATGCGCGTTCAGTTTGTCTTAAAGATTTTTTTTCTGGCTTTTACAGTTTATACGTTTGGTTTTTTTTAAATATTTCTCATAAAGATTTGTACTATTCAAAACTTTTTTTAAAATGTCGCAATTATGTTTTTTTTGTAGTAAACTTTTAACAGCAAGTAAAACAGGTGTTAATTGGGGAATAAAAATTTAATTGATTCTAGTGTTGATAGAAATAGTATTTCTATCAATACTATTCCGAGTAACTTTCCGAGTATACTCGGAAGAGTACTTTTATAAAATTTATAAGACAGCAACACATTGATCAAGTCAGTACATCCAAATTTAGTTCACCTCGTACCAGACCTCGCGTATTTGAATTTAGTTTTTATTTCAAAAAATATTGTTTATTTTGCGACGATGAAACAAAAGAAGAGGCTGAAAAACGATGAAGCGATTGATTTTGCGACAATGAAGAGACTGAAAAAAAAAAGCGCAAAATGTTAGGCGTAAAATTTATAAAGTTGTTACCCTTGAATTTAAAGAATTGATTTTTAAAGTTGGATGAAGTCGGTCTGATGACGTAGCCAAAAAATGTTACTGCACGCATTTAGTATCAATATGATTTAGTTGCTGCCGAGGCTAGATACCCTGAGACCAACTACTGGAGGTAAAGTCGGTCGTCCTGCAGATAAATCTACAAATGACTTGATAGAAAAAATATTTAGATACTATGAAATTAATGAAAAAATATTTAGATACTATGAAAATAGTTTGTCAATTTTTATTGGAAGTGTTAAAGATACGATTGAAATCAAAATATGGTGATAAAATTATCATCACTGAAAAACTGGACAGATTAAC